CTAAAACAGTTAATAGAAATATTTAAAAAAACAAAAAAATTAAATCAACTATGTTAGCCAGATCAACATGAGAAACTTAAAATATTGGCTTCTGCAACTAACTCAGTAGTCTTCACCTTCATTTCCTGTTTGTTCATAATCTGGAAAAGAAAAACAAGCTTTCCTGCTTTTTCAGGTCTCAAACAATTTTTCGAATTTGGAATGAATTAGTCCAAAGGAAGAAAATATTCTTTCTACACCGGCAGAAGAAGCTACTGCTGTTAAATGTGAAATTATCACTTCAGCAATCTCTGAATCTGGTTCACTGGTGTGACTTTCTTTAAAACATCAGCAAACATATATTTCTTGAATGGTTCAACCTTAACTCTGAAGTTTATTATAGTTGGCATTATGGAGGGATGATTGCTGGATGTCCATAGCCGCCAACTCTTCTTCAGCAGTTAAGGTTTGACCCTGGTACCGAGTATTGAGAATATTTGCAAGAAAATAAGCTGGAGATAGTGCTCGTCCCATTCATTTTTTTAATGCTTGTAATTTAACTCTGTAATTGCATATTTCTCTTAAGATCTCACTAAGTTCCTTCCAAATTTCAACAGCGTCAGCAGTAAAACAGCTATTTCCCTGCATTTTGTTCAAGGCCACAGAAATAGTTTTCAAGGTACTCAGCATGTGTTCAACATTTCTCTTAAGCCCAATGTTGAGAACTTTGGCTATGACAGCACCAGCCATTTTTTCACCATTTTGTTCACAAACTGTCATCAGATTTGGCCAGTTCTTGATATAGTGCTCAAAACAGTCCACTACTGAGTTCCATCGCACATCTTGTGGCAGGGTTAGCTTGGTTCCTCCCACTTTTTTCAGAGCAACTGCTGCAAAGTGGTTGTTACAGAAGTATTTTGCAATTTCAACAACATTAGCCTTTCTTTCTGGAACACTGAAGTCTTTGGTTAGGAGGTGCATCAAATGAGCACCGCAAGCGAATGTTATTAGCTTGAGACACTCTTCTAAATAATTTCTTCTCATCTTGGATACATTTGCAGCATTGTCTGTGACCAAGCTGCATACTAGATATTTGAATTTTTTTTCCCACAGTTTGTTATTGCTTTTACTGCTACTTCTAGTAAGTATTCTGCTGTGTGTGCATTTCCTGATGTATCAACTGTTTCTGTAAGGAAGACATCCCCTTCTTCTGTTGTCGCACAAGCATATACAACAAGATCATTGTGGATATTGCTCCACCCATCTAGACCTTGTGCACACTGCTCAATTTCTCTTTCATACACTTTATCCAGCAATTTGCCTGTGACATCTGCTCTGTTGGGTGGACTGTATCCTGGTCTTAATGACTGAGCCATGTTAATGAAGTGTGGGTTCTCAGTCATACGGAAAGGAGAGTTTGTTGCATAAACAAACCGGGCAATTTTTTCATCAAGTACCTCTTTTTGTAATCTGCTGGTTCTTATTACAAACTTATCTATAGCTGTTTCTGGATGATGGAGATTTTTTTTTCTTTTTGCTACAGGTGATGTACTGTGGCTATGTGACATACTTGATTGTGATTGAAACACTATCATTGGCAGATAACTATGACACTATAGAAAATGATGGTGATCTTGAAGGTGGATAGTCTTCAGAGTCCTGTATGTTGAGGATGCATTCTCCTAAACAAAATAAGTCAATGCAGTTTAATTATGATTAGCATACTGCTCATTTAGTATTACTCATTGCATTCACTGACACTCAGTACTACTTTAAAGGTGAAATTGTAAAAGGAAGATCTGCCTATTTCAGCTATTTATTTTTTATCACAACTGCATCTAAAATGATAGTACCATAGACTAACTATATTTTTTGCTCAAACATGAGAATTCAAAAATAGTCCAGAAGGAAGACAGGCAGTCCTTAAGAAAGAAGTATGAAATAAAGTTTACCAACCCAAAGATCCTGTATGTTCAGACATGTTTGTTTCATCATCTTCAACACAGCTTCTTCCTGAGAAGGAACACTTCTCATGATGTTGTTTCATTCGGGCAACCAGGCCTTGCATTTCTTTGTTGCACTGTTTGCATTTTGCACACATGCCTGTCTTATCCAGAGTTAGGGGAACTTAATGAAAATATTCCCAAACTGGGTTTCTTTTACGGCCTGCTGCCATTAATGGTTTTCCCTTCTAGTGAGAGAATGGTATGGTAGATCTCAAATCAATGAAGGCTACACTCAGAAAGACCTCAAGACTTCTGGAATATGCTGCTCAAACAATTTCACTATTGTTTCTACTGCCTGTCCCTCCCTTCTCACATTTATCTCCAGACTTCTTCTCCTTGTCCAGATCTATTCCGCCCCCAACAATCTTCTATTCATTGAACTTTCTGAAACTTTGCACTTTTAGCGAGAGGTAAGGAATTGACTGTATGTACACAAATTTGCAGAGGGACAATAGGGTTGAGGTCTGTTATTTCTCACGTCTATATATTAATTTAAAGCATTTTTGCTGTTAACAAGCATGTTATCTCTGGAGACACAAATCCACAGTTTGAAAACTGCAAAACTAAGCATCTCGGGTGGTATCTTCTAGACTGAGTACTGAGTCCCATTGGGTAGATAGAAAGATTAACCTAAATAATCTATACAGAAGCCCATGGAACCCCATAAGATTGGGCCCCTAATCCCTGAACTATTGGAACTAATTTACAAAAACTTTTTCTTAAACATTACATGAATATATTGTCTCATACTACAGAATTTGAATTTATAATCCCTATTCCATGATGAGATATCTTTGAGCTATAATGTATCTTAATTAAAACTATCTTTAGATAGGTTTTTCCTCAAAAAGCATTTTATCAAAAAAATCCGAATTTAAATTAAAAAAAATCTGTTTTTATTTTTTAAATCATGAATTTTTATCCACCCTGCTCAGCAGTGTGTCCTCCATGCTGCCTGACAGCAATTCAAAAATAGCACTGACAAAATTAATGGATGCCAGCAGAGAAATACAGGGAGTTTGTTAATTTGACCCACCCCCAAATTTCCTGCATTTTCCAGTAGGCATCCACCTACTGAAAAATCATCCTGCTGAAGAGGCATCCACAACAAGAAAAATCATATAGCATGGATCTTTGTGGTGGAACAGTGCACCATGGGATATCTACCCAGAATACTGAGCAAATAGTGCAGAGCTGTGTGGATATAATGAATAACAGATAGAGGCACCTTAGGCTGACATGACAAAGTGGTGGGGATGCACTTCATTTTGATGTAGTTAAATTGTTGCACTCACAGTGAACAAACTAATGCAATGTAACATCTCTGTTTCAACAGGGCCCTAATGTGTTCACTTCCGAATTTGATATGGGCTGAGGATGCCATAGTGATGAATGCAGTATTAATGCCCAGACAGCTTCTGCAACATTACTGTGTTCCTCTCATAAAATCAAGCTGATTGAGTTTAAGAGCAGTACCATACTTGGATATTTTAAGGGTTAGATCAATTATTCCAACTTGGATTGAATTTACACCTAAAGAGTTTCTGTATCTCTTCCTATACATTTGAGATTATGTAACAGTCATCTTTAAGATCAGTTTCTGCCTGCTGGCTAATCATTCCCACAGAGCACATAACTTTTTCACTGTGATTAGGACAGTCTTGTTTTTCCCCTCCCCTCAATATATACTGTTTAGGATTTTGTACTGCTACCCATTATGTAAGTATCTGAATGCCTTCTACGTAAAATAGATTGACAATAGCAAAATCTGTAGAGGACTTCTTGGAGACACTTGCTCTACTATCTTTTCTGGTTATAGAAAGCTCTGCTTGGGTTAGTGCTGTTTTGACTGAGGGGAAAGGGAAAGAGAAGGAGAGAAGTGGGTTAGTTTTTAAAGTTATTCTGGTTATGATGGAAAAACTATATAAAAGGGGAAGGTTTTGTAGTATTTCCTGAAAGTGGTCAGGTTAAATTTCTCTGATTTCCTCTGGAAATATTCTTATACTTTGCTTTGTCTTGGTGCTCTCGTGCTTTGTGATCTGCATTGTCCCAGAGGAGCATCACTTTCTTGGCGGCATTGGATGAAATATGAAATATGGTCTGTAATGCAGCTGATACCCGATCTGTTAGTTAGTATGAAGATTAAGACAGTGACCTTCAACTGGCTATGGAAGTGGACTCACACCCAGGGGAGGGACTAGAGCACAGGCTTGATGTGCTCATGGAGGAGGCAGACAGTGCATTTTGTACCTGCTGGAGCCTTTCCATTGATTTCACTTATGGTTTGAGATCAATAAATAAAGTAAGATCTAAGATTTTGCTCATCTCCCTCCTCTGAATGCCATTCAGACATTTAAAATACAGTGAGCCTACTATCCTCATAATTAGTACATGCACATTGGATCCCACTATTTGTGAGTTACTTGGGCAGGGGGCGTTTCCTATCCCATCTAGACATGCATTACATTATGATTGCCACTTTCTGTGGTGGGTATTCAATGGTGCTATATAAATAGTACTAATAATGGGGCTGTAGTAAATGTGGGGTCTTGGTCAGAATATTGGTTTTCTATAAATCAAATGAAAATTCCTGAAAGATAATTTCTTCCAAGTAAATGTGCATGTCAGTGTGACATAAAAACTCAGTTAATGTGTGTGAATCAATTTTAAAATAAAGCTTCTTCACAAAGAAAGGACAGACCAGCAAAACTACAGTATATTGATTTATTGGGGCAGGGGGAAGTTTCGAGGATTTTGTTGGTAGAGCACTTATGGCAACGCTAATTATTTGAGTGAGTTTTAAGTTTTATAGGTAGAAACAAGTGGTTATTCAATAACAAATTCAATTAATATTTAAAACATGAGGGGAAAATATGGTTCATATTTGCCATTAGTGATTGGGGGTCTAGAAATTACATCATATGGGTGGCAGTTTGTCATGTCAGAATACAGTGGGACAAAGGTTTTCAGTAATAGTTTTCATAATACTGAACTTTTTTTTAAAACTCTGCTTAGCTTCAGAAATTGCTTACTATGGACCCAATAAAGAGAATTACCTCAGAACAGGCTATGCAGGATCCTTATTTCTTAGAAGATCCACTTCCCACATCTGAGTAAGTGGTCAGTTTATTAATCCATTAGCATATTCATATATTTTTTAATGTATGCTCTGTTTACTTCTTACTATAAATACATACCTGTGTGTGTGTGAATAATGAATTAAATACTTACTGTCTGACAAGCAAAGAAAAAGGTATACTAACTAAAATGCCATTTGAGGTTTTTAAAATTAAGTAGCATTCCTATTAATCTCTTGCTTTATGAAACTTTGATCCTGTTAGCCACAGCACTAATCCTGTTATTCACTGACAGGTTGATTATGCATGCTACAGATCTTTGTGGACAACTGCTAAGTGCCTGCAGGTCCAGTTCTCTGTTCTAGAATGCTGATGACATTTACTAATTAGTTTACATTTTTCCATCTTACCCTTTGTTGTAAATTCAGGGGATGGGGGGGAGGGAAATAGTACAGGCTCTCTGTACTTTCATACTTCACAGCCTAAATCCATTTTCCGTAGACACACTTTCTTTTCAACTGCACAGGGAGATTCTAAACATAAGAAAGCTTACAGACAAAAAGTGTGAACAGTCTATGATAAAGCATCCTAAGATGGCCTGCCAGTGCTTGAGTGGCCTTGTTTTAGAAAGGCCAGTTCACATGCTGCATATCATTCCTTTTTTTCATTATTAAGGGAAGAATTTATAAAATGTGTTATGTATATTTATAACAGTTAATTAAAATGAAATTAATTCAACTCAGCTTAGTGAAATATTTATAACAGTTCCTGACCTGTCTCTATATTCTAGTGCTGTCATGCAAGTGGTTTGGTTTTGCAGAAACTGCTCTTAGGTCAATATTCTTTTCCCTCAACCTTACATTGGCAGCATTTTAATACAAAATTAATAGCATGTTTGCAGGTACAGAGGCTAGTTATAAATAAAGGTATATCCATATGATTACGAGTGGAGAAATCTTAGCTTGGGTTAGCAGTAACAAATTCATTCATGTATGTCCATAAGTCTAAGGTGAGAGACCACATACCTCCAAAAGCTTCCAGGTCTTGTCACAGTTAATGTTTTTTTATTTGGTAATGGAGTTTTTAACCATCTGGACCATAATTATTGATGCCCTTTATTTAGTTCAACATTTTATGAATTTCTGTATAACTGGATGAAGAGACCTACATGGTGCACTTATAGAGGAATTGACTCTGGTATCTAACAGGACTCTTCCATCTCTCCACCTCCAGTCTGGTCACCATATTACCCATAAACACTGACAGATTGGTGGGAGTTGGGAGGAGAAGAATAGAAATGACCAAAAGGTTAAAACAAATACATGTGAATACCTAGGCTAAGTAAATGATGTTATTAAGAAGGGGTACACTACTTGACAGATATATTAGGCTGTGGCTCAGGAAATTTGAAACTAGACTGGACAAAATACTAGATCTTCATCTACGACTAACCTCTCTGATTCTAGGCAGATATACCAAGACTGCTAACTTGTTTTTGCAGTGTTTTTGCAGGTTGTCAGATCCCTTACCCAAAACGAGAATTTTTAACAGAAGAAGAACCCGATGATAAAGGAGACAAAGTAAGTATTAAAATACAGTGTCGTCTTGTCTCATTGAGTTTTACCTCAGTATTTCACATTTGCTGCTCTTGTACTGCTTCTGAGTTGAAATTTTTCTTTGTGTTTAACCAATTGAGAAGAACCAGCAGCAGCAGCAGGGCAATAACCATACTAATGGAACTGGTCATCCAGGGAACCAAGACAACAGTCATACACAGGGACCCCCATTGAAAAAAGTGAGAGTTGTTCCTCCTACCACTACCTCAGGTGGACTTATTATGACCTCAGACTATCAGGTATCTCAACTTCAATTTTCCATATATTCTATATTTGGCTCTTGTGTATTGTAACTTAGAAGAAACTACTTATAGTGCAACTCTACTCTAAAAATGCTTTTGTATAATGGCATGGTGGGGTTCCGTATTTATTGTATCTCAGCTTCTTTCAGATCAAGTGCGCTCAGTTTAAAAAAAATAAGATTTTTTTTTTTCTAGCTATCAATCCTGCAACTTTAACTTCTGAGGCGAGTCAAGTTAGGAGTGGCAAGGAAACAATAACTTGTGATTAATAACTAAATAATAATAATAATATTTATTATTTATTAGTATTACCTTAATACCTAGAAGCCCTAGTCACGGAGCAGGACCCCATTGTGGTAGGCACGGTGCAAACACAGAACAAAAGGATGGCCCCTGGTTCAGAGAGCCAATTATAAAACTAGAGACAACAGATGGATACAGACAGATCAGGGAATATAAGAAAATAATGAGACAATATTGGTTAGCATGATATAGGGAGTGGTCTCTGGACAAGAGCGTCCTAACTCTTGTCAAGTTGGAAAAGAAGAGTTTCAAGGAGGGTTTGAAGAAGGATAGTATGGGGCAGCATGGGAGGAAGTATGAAGGTGCTTGTTTGAAAATTTAACAAGCGGGCTAGGGAGGCAGGAGCTGACATTTCAGTAGTGAACAACAGGTGATAGCTAGGGTGGGATGGGCAGTGAAGAGCCTTGAAAGTAAAGAAAAGCAGTTTGTTTTGTGATAGAGAAGAGGGAGCCAGTGGAGGGATGCCAAGCGGGGTGGGATGAGGTGGTCAAAGTGACAGGCTAGGAAAATAATTTGAAGCAGCATTCTGGATACGACTTGGGCAAAGTTGCATTTGCTGGGGAAAAGGACATTGCAGTAGTTGAGATGCGAGATGAGAGCCTGGAAGTGAGTTTTAGCTGTGTGGATGGATTAAAAAAAGGCCATACTTTAGAGAAGTGATGCAGAAAAATTGGCTAGATTTAGACATAGGTGAGGACCTAGAGAGAGGTCATAGTCAAAGCTGATGCCTTGATTATGGGTCTGAGTCATAGGCAGGATGGATGGTGGTGTTGTCCTCAGTGATTGACAAATGAGGTAATAGGCAGGGCTTGTGGGGGAAGATTAAGAGCTCTGTTTTAGCCATGTAGAGCTGAGCTGAAGTCCAGCAATAGACAGATTTTGATTTGGACAAAAGTAGACCTTTCTGAAGTAGAGAGGTAGATCTGTGAGTCATCAGTGTAAAGATGGTGGTTGGATTTGTGTTTGTGGATGAGATTACCCAGAGATAAGACATAGAGGGAGAAGAGAAAGGGACCAAGGTGAGAGTCTTTGGAGTAGTGGAACAGCTACAGAAAGTTGGAGTGAAGATGTAGAGGATTTTCCAAAGGACATGCTGAAGGAGCGATTAGAGAAGTAGGAGAGGACAGAGTCATGGATGCCAAGTGAGGACAAGATTTCAAGAAGAAGAGCATGCTCAACAGTGTCACAGGTGGCTGACCAGGATGGAGTACTGATTTTGAGTTTTGCCTAGAGAATAGGTCATTAGAGACTTCGAGAGTCTAGTTTCAGTGGACTGCAAGAGGCAGAAGCTGGATTGGAAGGGGTTTAAGATGGAATAGGTGCAGAGGAACTCCAGACAGTGACTGTAGACAGGGAAAGGGAGATGGGTGGTTAGTTGGAGAGGCCAGTAGGGTCAATGGTGGGTTTTTCAAAATGAGGGACTAAAGCATGTTTATATTGTGAAAGATATAACAACACTTTCCTCAAGTGAGAAGTTAGATCCTCTGTCTCTATAAGATAGCTGCTGTCAGTTTGCTTGCCATACCCCCTGTGTACTACTTCATAAAACAAGAATGAAAGTCCAATAACTTTGAAATAATTGACTTTTAAAACTGGTTCTTGGGATCATTGACTAGATGCACTCAGGTAGCCCAGTGGGTATGGCCCTGATCCTCATAAAGCCTATAGTTTTTCCCCTGGCTCTGCACACATAAAGGTATAAGAACCTAAAAAACATAAAGGCAGGTCATTTTGCAGGAGCTGAATGTCATGAGCTCCATAGCCAAATGACCCCAAATTTTCTTCACTAACTCTACCCCAGGACTTCAGCTAGTGTATCGATTTTCAGGTCCATTTCACTATGCATGTGGGTTTTAAAGCACTTTGAATAATCAGTTCTAAACAGAAAGCTCTGTTCAACCTTAACCACTGTGCAGCAAGGGCTGTCTCAGAATGTAACTGTAATAGTCTCTCCCTCAGTGGAGTGTGCATTCACAAAATATTTTCCAACACGAGGGTTGATCCCTCTTAAACCTGCAGGCAGCTAAGTCAGTTGCTGTCCAGAGTTTGTTTTGGCATCATTTCTGCTAACTCCTTTCTGCCTGAGCCTCTGAAGAAGGCAGATGCAGCAGAACCTCTTGTCTCTCTCCCATGCTGACTGACACAGCTAAGGAAAAGAGGTGTAGGGCTTGTGTGTTGGGGCAGAGGATCTCCACTTGCTTGCACTATTCAGATGCTATTCACCCCACTTCACAGTGGCAGCTGACCTGAGAGCATGAGAATCAGAGCAAACCCAAGCTACCTCTCCTGTGAGCATGGATTGAAGTCTACAAGCTGGGAAATCAGGGGGCTCTGAATCACCCTCCGTGTACGCAGGGATTGCTTAGGGAGTCCACCTGTCACCTTCATCTAGGTTGAGGAAAGCTGTGCTCCTGCCTCAGCTTTCTCACTCCACTAACATCCCTCCCAGGCTTACTGCCTGTTTTTCAACAAGGGCCATATAGGGTTATTTTTGCATGGAGTAGCGGTAACTGCCCCTTCACTGTCTCAGCGGCTCTTGCAAGTGCTTTGGCTCCTCCTGATTGCTCATCTTTTTGCCATGCCTTTGAAAGGCATCATGTTTGACTTTAAGAAATTCAGTCTATTTTCCCCAGACTTTTAAGAAGGCAAGGATGATATTGCACTCATGAGTTTACATATAGTAAATAAGGCAGATGGAAGGAACTCACATGAGCATGACAGCACTGAGGCCAAAGCAATTAAATGCCACCTACTGATTGGGGCACATCTCTCTGAATCTCCCCCTAAGATTCTTCAACCCAAGGCGGAAGGAGAAAAATTTAAAATACACCATTGTTTTGACCAAACACCTGTCCCTTGATTCTCTCATACTGTAACATCTGAGTCCTCTGAGGGAAATAACCATCCCTTGAGGAGCTTTACTAAGACATCCCCTCAGTAGCTAGATCCTTTGTTTAATCTCTCTGAAGCAAGCTGGCCTATTAATTCTTCCCCTACACAACCTTTTCTGTCATGCATAAAAGCAATTAGGTAAGGATTTTTACAGGTATATAAATTTCCATGTCCCTTGGTTTCAGAGGTTTCAACTTGCACATTTAATGTGACAACACTGAAATGAATTGGAGCAGTCCTGTCCCCGGAGGATGTAACAAGCTTTTGTCTTTTGAGGAGCGGGTTAGTGGTGTTTGGAGGTAGAACAGGCTGGTTGTTTGGGATTTTAACTTTTGTTTTTAAAAGTCACTTGTTGCTCTACATGATGTGACTGCACTGAGTCATCTTGTAATTGGCCACATGAAATAAATAAGCAACATTTTTCAGTAGTCAGGTTGTGGAAGCCTATTAAGTATATTACAAATAAAACATTAATGGCTAATTTTAAACTTCAATTTTTTTTCAGTTTCCTGCATACTTGAGGCACGTTTTACCAAAAAGTACACCCAGAGATTTTTGCACTATTAAACATACCCTTTATTTATTATACAGAACTGGATCATATGATGGCTGATCTGTTACTCTGACACTTCTCATTAAGTGTGTAGTGTCTCTCAAGAGTGAAGGTAAATGTCATAACAGCTCAGCCATCATGTGAGCTGTGATGTACAGCAATGCTAATTTATTCCTGCTGGCTGGAAGTACTGTTATAACTATTTCTTTTCCCCTCCACATCACACACCTAGAGAGTGATTCAGTCCCTTAAATGCATGTGTGGAGAGTATCCACCTACCTTGCTTTATAAAGGTCATCCCTTTATTTTTATTTCCCCAATATGTAGCCATCTCAACACATTTATTGAATCTAACTTAACTTCTGATCTAAATGAAGACTCATGAAGAGGAAAGTTTAAGTGTTTAAGCTAAAGAAATAAATCCCACATCAATTACAGCTTTTTAAACTATAACAATTAAACAAATATGTCTTTATTTTTATTTTATTTTTGTATCCCACATTTGGTCCTGGCCAGGTTATACGGATACAAGATTTTGGCTTCTTAGTCCCTGCCCCAAAGAGCTCACAATCTCTTCTTGACTGTCTAGAAAATGCCTACCTTATAGTGAATGCTCCAATAAACCAAAATTAATCTCATATGCATAGGTCTCCCAGAGAAATTTCCTTGAATTATCATTGATATTAAATACACAACAAACCTTCCAAATATGTGCTCTTGGAGGGGGAAGAAAACCCCAACGGAGAGCACCTAGGATATTTTTGGCTGGAAGTTTTTTTTAACACACTGATGTACCACAGTGGTAAGCATAAGATGTCTCGATAGTTGAAGTGGCATTGGTGACATGACAGATATGAATTCAGAATGGGTAACAAACAGCATTACTTGTTACTAGCTCTCAATCAAATATTCCTGGTGCTCATATGCTTAGTTACGGTAATCAAAATAAGTAGAACACTGTAAATACAAGTGATTGATATACTGTGCTGTAGTACCTGTTAATTATTGCCCCACACAGCACAGAGACCTCAAAAAATTAATGGGTACTGTATTTGTATTATAAATGCATCCACTGTAGGAATCAATTCTCTTCTCCTTCATGGTTTCCAGCGTTCCAATCCCCATGCTGCGTATCCCAACCCTGGACCAAGCACATCGCAGCCACAGAGCAGCATGGGATATTCAACTACCTCCCAGCAGCCTCCACAGTACTCACATCAGACACACCGGTACTGAGCTGCACCTGAATAACGTCAATGCACTGTTGCTAATGCTGTAGGACTGGTCATGCAGCTGTCTGCCTGGAACCTGGCTTGGGCCACAAGAATGTACTGTACAACCACACCTTCAAAATGTCTGATAGCCAAGTTCCACCACTTTTCACAGAATGGAGTAGTGGCTCCCAAATTGTACCTGTTTTGGGGTTAGACTTGAAAAGAAAGTGCTAGCACAGTTTGTGTTGTGGATATGCTACTTCCATAGTTTACTTGACATGGTTCAGACTGACCAATGCATTTTTTTCAGTGACAGTCTGTAGCAGTTGAAGCTGTGAAATGTGCTAGGGGCAAGCATTTTTTTATTGTATGTGGTGAATTCTCTTGATGTAACAACATTATCTGACCAATAGTACACAAAATCCTTTAACTGGTACTTGAAGCATACAGTATATGTTAACATGGCAAAAAAGCAAAATAACCATGACTCTAATTGAGATAATTTTGATATACATTTATTTTTAGTGACTTTTGTGCGTTGGTTCATTTTCCACATTGATCAATGTTTTATGACCAACAAAATTGCTACAATAAGATTTTTTAAGAAAATGAAAACATTTGCATTTTTCCAGCAGATTACAAGCCTCCCAAAGATTAATTTCCAACATATAGATTTGTTTTTGTTTTTAAATCTATGACTTGACTGGTATTAAAGCTGCTATTCGATAGTAAAATAAGTATGTTGTCATTGATATAAACATGTTTGGTTCAGCAAACAAACTGAAATGATTGTCATAGACAGTGTTTTATTTTTCCTATTAGTGTTGCTGATTTGTGAGCATGCTTTGGGATTAAAAAAGCATGAATGATATTTCCTTAAAAGGTGCGGCATCCATTCAGATATTTCGTCATGATTTTTGAGAGATGGATTGGTGTAGTGGATTTTAAATTTTGTTCAGTTAATTATTTTTAAAATATTTTCGCACGTTATTAGGGATGCCCTTATTACAGCAAAGGATGAGGTGTTAGGAGAGCCTTAGAATTTGAGGAAAAACTATAACATACAATGTACTGTATCAAACTATTTTACATGAATGACGCAAGTATTCTGAATAAAAAACTGAACATTGTTAAAAACAAGGTGTTATGTAATAAATTTATTTTTCATAAATCTGCATATGAACTTTGCTTGTATTCCTTTTTATCAACAGACATGAAATACATTAATGCACTAACATCCATATAGGCACTGTCTGAATAATCAGTTCAGTTTCTTAATTCAACAGTAATTTCTATTGCAAGTAGGGAGGTTCCTCTTAACTGCTGCATGTCATCTATAAGTACTACAAGAACTACTATAACCCTCTTACTGATTACCCTTTTATAACAGTGTGCAGATAATCAGCTATGCTGTACTGAGTTACAAAATATTAATTATATTTTATAGATGATGCAACTGGTCCTACACAGAATCTAGAGATACTAGTATCTATAAAACCACATCTAAGGTTTTCCTTAATCATTTGTCATGTTGGTATCTAATCTCACAATGCTATTTCATGAGGCCAGCATCCCCCTCTTTTTCTACGGGTTAAAGCGTTCAATATTATTACAATGTGATGATGCCATTACATTACATGAAGGCTTATTCATTGAGATGCCTATGGTAGGGCAGAGGAAAGTTTAAACCACAGGTAAGGTGAGGAATGGACCAAGTATCAAATTGGAATAAAGGATATGAGTAAACAAGACAAAATGGATGTGTTCAAAATATTTAATGTGTTTATATGTTAAAGTTGATTTTTCAGTAAGTCTTGGTGTTCTGGGGAAGTTCAGAAGACTGGAAGAAAGCTAATGTTGTGCCAATATTTAGAAACGGTAAACAGAATGACCCAGGTAATTATAGGTCTGACAGTCTGACTTTGATCCTGAACAAGATAAGGGAGTGGTTGATATGTGACTTGATTAATTAAAAAATTAATGTAAGGTAATGTAATTTATGCCAGTCAACATGAATTTAGGGAAATAGATCCTGTCAAACTAACATAATATCCTTTTTTTTTTGTTTTTTTTTTTTACTATGAGATTACAAGTTTGATTGATGAAGGTAATAGTGTTGATATAATATAATAATATACTTAGACTTCTGTAAGGTGTTTGACTTGGTACCTTGACATTTTGATTAAAAAACTAAAATGATATAAAATCAATATGGCACACATCAAATGGATTAAAAGCTGGCTAACTGATAGATCTCAAAATGTAGCTGTAATGAGGAATCATTGAAAGGGTGTGGTTTCTAGTGGGGTCCTGCAGGGATTTGTTCTTGGCCTTATGCTATTCAACATTTTGTCAATGACCTGAAAGAGAATATTTTCAGATGACAGAAAAATTGGGTGAATGGTTAAAAAAAAAAAAAAAAAAACTGGATCACTTAAGCTGGGTGCAAGCAAACAATGTGTTTTAATATGTCTAAGTTTAAATGTACACAGTTGGAATAAAGAAAGTAGGCCATGCTTAGAGGATGGGGAACTCTACCTTGAAAAACAGTGACTCTGAAAAAGATTTGGGGGTCATGATGGCTAATCAGCCGAACAGGAGGTCTCAGTGCCAAGCTGTGGCCAAAAGGGCTAATACAATCCTTGGATGCATAAACAGGTTATTATAAAATAGGATTAGAGAAGTTATTTTGACATTGTTGCGACCGCTGCTGGAATACTGTGTCTAGTTCTGGTGTCCATCATTTAAGAAGCATGTTGATAAATTGGAGAAGGTTCAGAGAAGAGCTACAACAATGATTAAAGAATTAGAAACCATACTTTCTTCTTCAAGTGCTTGCTCATGTCTGTTCCATATTAGGTGTGTGTGCTCACCACATGCACATGCATCAGTGGTGGAAGTTTTTCCCTTAGCAGTATTCGTAGGGGACCAGCTCAGATCAGCTCATGGCATGGTATAAGGGGTGCTGCCAGCTCCTCCCCCCACCCTCAGTTCCTTCTTTCCGCCAGTGATGGTGCTGGAACTTCTGCTGCTTCAGCTAGCTTTCGCTTAATTCAGTGTGTCTCTCAAACGTTTTTTTGTAAAATAGTTGTATATAGTTTAGTATTTACCCTTAGTATTAGTTCTGGTTAGTTGGTCCCAGATGGGACACAGCCTAGGGATGGGGCATGCCCCAATCCCCAGGCTTTAAACCATGTGATCATTGTAAGCGGCCCATGCCCATCAGCGACCCACACGTTAGCTGCTTAAGGTATGTAGGAGAAGGACACGTAAGCGACAAGTGTCCCATCTGTAAGTTGTTCAAACCCAGAACGAAAAAGGAGAGACATCCATCTCAGGGCACTCCTGATGGAGTCGGCACTGACCCTGGCACCGGAGCAGAGGTCCAACTCAGCCCCGAGCACAGCAGTGTTGGTACAGAGCGCCCCACCGGTGCCGTCTACGAGCTGGCACTGATCCCCAGCCCTGGCCAAGAAGTCCACAATGGGAACATCTCCCACTTCCCATAGGGAAAGGAAGGGGCCAGAGGAGAGCCAAGACCTGTGCTGGGCAGCTCAACACCTCCGTCAGGGAGTGGGGCCCCAGCTCGTGTCGAGCAGTTAAGCCCCTCCTGTACTATGCCTGCCACACCGGACAGTCATGAAGGCCTCTGTCAATTCGAAGTCCCATCGATGCCCAAACCCTGCAGGCAGTGCAGGAGATCCTGATGCTACCGGTGCTGCCCACGCTGGCTCCGGTGATACCCAAGCTCAGGGGTTAACCCATCTTGGGACCATTCCGAATGTCCCCACCTCAGCACTGCCTCTCCCCAGTGTGGGGGACATCCCGTCAGCGCTCGGCCGCATGGAGCTGTCATGCCTCGGACTTTGGGAGGCAAGCTCAGAGAAGCCCTCATTGGTCTCCGGACCCTGGGCACTGACAGCGGGATTTGAGGCGCGGCTCGCCGGTAACCTAGCACAGGCCTGCAGAGGCACACGCCCCCCAGCATGAGCATCGAGACCGACCCATTGGGTCTCCAATGTCTCGGCACTGGTCCTGCGACCGATCGGCAGAATGGGGTCACCAGTCACATGCCCAACGGCACCCGTCGCCAAGATGCGAATCCCCTCAATCGGGGCGATTCTGTCAATGACCAGCCCGCTCCAACTCCCAGACCCACTCTAGATCCCGGTACAGGTCAAGCAGTCTGAGGCATAGATCTCCAGTCTACCGATGCAGATCCGCCAAACGCCGAAGATCCCCGGGTCCCGCGGGAGGAACTTATCCCCAATGGACAGGTTGGTGTCGAGGCACAGTGGCCAGCACCGCTGTGAGGAGGGCTGCCCGGCCAGCCGGTCATGGTCACTCTGCAGCATCCGTTCCGCTTATGACTCTGGTGCTGATCAGGAGTCCCTCGTAGCATGATAGGCCCCGGCACCAGTGGTACTGTCGACCTCATCAGCACCACAACCGACCCCGTGGCCGCCGGGCGAATGGCCGGCAGCTTGGTACCCCTGGAATCCATGGAGGTTCACCCAGCCTTCCCAGGCTGCCCAATTGGTGGCAGGGGCCTCAGGCCATCAGCCGCAGCATCCCACTCTCCTCCGAAGGTGGAGGCCGCACAGGGGAAGACCTCCCAGGCCCATGAGGAACTAGGAGAGCAGCCAGTTGGACTATCAGGGGATGACTTCCTCGGCGCTGGCTTCCTCCTCCTCATCGCTGGACAAAGCGATTACGAGTCCCCCTCACCCAGTTCTGCAAGATGACACCAAGGCTCATCAGGAGCTTTTTGAAGAGGGTCGCCTCTTACCTGGGGCTCCAGGCAGAGGAACTCGAGGAGCTGTTGGACTCACTGTTTGAGTTCTTTGCTCCATGGTACCCGCTAGAGTGTCTTTACCCCTACACAGCGGGATATCTAAAATAATGAATGCCCTATGGCAAACCCCCTCCTCCCTGCCACCCATGTCAAAAAGGGCTGAGTGCAAATATTTTGGGCCAGCTAAAGGCCATGAGTATCTCTATACTCACCCAGCCCCAAACTCCCTCATAGTTGAGGCTGTTAACCAGAGGGAGAGACAGGGTCAACCCAGGGCTACGCCCGAGAATAACGACACGAAGAGACTGGATCTGTTTGGGCAAAAAACCTTCCAGCCTTCAGTTGAGAGTGGCCAACCACCAAGCCCTCCTTGGCCACTATGACTACACTACGTGGCAGTCTATGGCCAAATTCCAGGTCTTGCTGCCAAAAGGGTCCAGGAAGGAATTCCGGGCGATCCTCGAAGAGGGCACAGCTGCAGCGAGAGTGGCCCTCCAGGCCACCTCGGACACAGGAGACTCTGCAGCTCACACCATGGCCTCAGCCATCTCCATGCGAAGGGTGTCCTGGCTGCTCCTTTCAGGTCTGTCAACTGAAGCTCAGCAATCGATGCAAGACCTCCCCTTCGACGGCCAGGCCCTATTTGCAGAGCAGACGGACAGTAAACTGCCTGGACTCCCACATTACCCTGAAAACTCAGGGCTGTACGTTACCAGTCCAGCCTGTAAGTGGTTCAAGCCACAGCAATCTCAGGGCCAAGAGACTCAAACCCTCCAGGAGCCCCCCTATAAGAAGAGTAGGGGCTACAAGTGCTGCCGAGCCACCCACCTCCTCCCTCTGCCCAGTTGGGCTCAACCTGCAATAAGCGGGGGGGGGGGGCAAGCAAGCGTTTTGAGGGTGTGCTCAAGGGCTTTATCCCGGATCCATCTGTCCCGCTGTTCTCCAACTGCCTTTCTTTTTTCCTCTCCGCATGGACAGCTATAATTTCAGACTGCTGAGTCCTCAATACTGTGGTGGAGGGTTATACCCTACAGTTTACTTACTCCCACTCCCTTTCCCCATCCCTCTTCAGGGACCCTTCTCATGAGTCTCCTCATGCAGGATCATAGAATCATAGAATATCAGGGTTGGAAGGGACCTCAGGAGGTCACCTAGTCCAACCCCCTGCTCAAAGCAGGACCAATCCCCAGACAGATTTTTGTCCCAGATCCCTAAATGGCTCCCTCAAGGATTGAACTCACAACCCTGAGTTTAGCAGGCCAATGCTCAAACCACTGAGCTATCCCTCCCCCTTCCCCCTTGGAGGTAAAAGGGTTGCTACAACTGGGTTTGGTGGAAGAAGTTCCTCTCGTGTACAGGAACAAGGGGTTCTGTTCCCGG